AGTGACTGTTGTATCGTCTGAAGAATAGGCCTGTTGTTAGGGTTCTAATTCTTACACCATCAAGGGAGTTGACCATCCAGTAAGTGCTATTTCAAGTTATTTTACGTGCGAACCTGAGTTTGTTATTTAAATATTTGTGTATGTGGATATTCTCTTTCAATTTACAACTGCATGGGTTATTTTTGAACTACAAGTATAGCCTCTCGAATCAAAGTTGTGAAAGAAAAGCATTTTGCAAAATTCAATTTACAACTTATTTGCAATATTAGATAAAAAAAAAAATCTTCATCTACATTAAACAAAAAATACAATAAATAATTAAAAATAAATTATCGTTGACATATATACAATCACAACATTCATTATACTTATTTATAAGAATAAAAATAAATTATCGTGACATAAAATATACAGTTAACCAAAAAATGAGAATCAAACAAATATTTCTTATTTCCAAATACTTTTTATACAATCTATAAATTCTACGCTAATAAAACCAAAATAAATACAAAAAAAGAGTCTCCACTAATATTGTTAAGCCTCTCACGGGGTGGCCGAGTTGGTTGAGTAAGTGAGTACGAAGGCTTTTGATCACGAGTTCGATTCCCCTTTCTAACACTTTTTCGATCGAGTCTATCGCACCGAACTTGCCGAGTGCAATTTACCTAACTGACGTGGTTTGCAGGCTATTGCGTTAGTCCGAAGGTTTACCTAGTACGCACCCGAATGGTAGTGGCTGCGAGTTCCCCCGTTATAATAAAAAACAAAAAAAAAAAAAAAAGACAGTTCGCTAATATTGTTAAGCTTGGCTTTTCTATCGCACCGGGCTTGTCTAGTAGTGCAATTTACATGATTGGCGTGATTTGCAGGCTATTGCGTTAGTCCGAAAGTTTACCCAGTGCACACCCGAATAGTAATGGCTGTGGGTTCTCCCGTCATCCAAAAAAAAAGAAAAAAGAAATAATAATAAAACAATGCCAAACAATATTGTTAAGCTTGGAGATTGTAAAACAAGCAAAAATCAGACGGGAAAACCAAAAAAGGGCCCGGACTCCAAAGCAAGGCCGTAGCAGGTAATTTTCTGAATTAGAATAGCATATCATCGCGACCACTTTGTCATGCAGACTGTGCTCCTAACTCTTGACTTGAAATGGACATAACAATGCCAAAAAACCCATTGTAAAAACACTTCTAATCTCCGTTCGAGGTTACAAAGTTGTTAAAAGAAATAGTAGAACCATATGGGCACCTTCCTATGGTAAAAAGCTCGACATCACAACGAGTTGCATGGTTGATTTGCTTCATTTAAGTAGATTGGGGCAACTTACCAATTTTAACATAACAATCTTGCAAAAGTACGACTCCACCAAATCATCAAATGGAACTGTCAAACAACTCCTTCAACTAGAGGTCTCCTTGCCTGTTGCACGCATGCAGTTGCACAGCACGTACATAATAAAAATATAACAGCAATTCACTTGGGTTGATGATCCATATTTTAGCTGAGGCCAGAAAGAGAGTAGAGTGGCATTGTACTTTGATCTGCTAAAATTAATTTAAATTGAACTAAAATTCTAGAACTGATACGACTTAGTCAAACTAACTGCCATTATAACTAGGTTGAGAAAAATGTAAATTCAGAGGAGCTTCCTTCCATCCTCATTAACAACCCAACACATATGACATAACCGAAGCCAAGAAAGCACAGCAGAAATTTACTTCGGAAAACAGATGAAAAGGTAACCAGGTTTTCGTGACAATCTTAACACACAAGTATTCCCCAGAAATGAGATCAGGCAGGGAGATTGCTAAAAGATAAACCAAAAAACTCAATACCACATCCTCAAAACTGCAAAACCTTTGCAGTATTTTCTTTATTTCATCATTGTTGGAAGAGGGTAGACGAGGGAGGCTGCACAAGATTTGTTGAATCAACCCTGCAGTGCTGATGCTCCAGATATAATCTCTATCAGCTCTGTAGTGATAGATGCTTGACGGGTTCTGATAGAACATAGAAGTAAAGACCGATCAAATTGGAGAACAAGAAGAACACAGGAAAAAGGTTTATCATATTTCTATCTCATCCCCTGATGGATCAAAAATCAAATAAGCATTATGAACATGATTTGGGTATTTGAATAAACTGTCAAGCGTACCTGTTATAAGCAAGAGTGAGGCGATCGAGCATATCTCCTGCATTTCTGCTGGAGCTGTCCATTGCAGACATTCTGGCTCCTTGCTCACTGCAAGCATTTTCTAGGACCGCATTGAACATAACCTGAAGAAAACATTAAAACTGTCTCAAACTTGATGGAAAGCTATAATGAGAAATAGTTCCTAAGGCCACCTTTCCTATGAATATATAAAATTCAATCAGAAAGGTATATCATACACAGGAAAAATGGATGTCAGATAGATTCTGAAGCTCTGTGGCTTTCATATTAGATGGGATTAAGCACAAGTTAGATCGTAAGTTTTATCTTTCCAACAAATATATAACAATCAATCAGAAAGTTCAAACATACACAGGAAAACTGGAATTCTGTGAGATTCTGCAGTACTTCTGACTTTGTTTCACCTCCTTCAATTTCGTAGGAGTCTAATTCCCGAAGTTTTCCCCCAGATTCAGCTTCTCTCTCAACGACCTATATCAGGATTGCAGCAAATTAGAATCTACAATTAAAAGCAGTCACCGAAATGCTTGCTTTAGTAAATTAAGTTGATCTTATCAATGACCTCGGGGGATAACACAGTTGCTGTTGTTGGCAGAAAAGAGACAACGGATTGGAACTTGTTGAAAACAATCCTCAATGCATCATACTCTACATTCTTTAAAATGTCATCTGCAAGTACAGAAACCTGCAGTGGCAGCAATAGGACATGAAAAAAGTTATCAAAAAGATAGTATAAACAGTTGAAATTCCTGTGGCTTAATACACAATTTGCTTATCAATTAAGTTTCTTCAGCAAGCCTTTTTAGTCCATCAATCAGACTGGACACTAAAGTAGAGACCAAACAGAAATTCCAGTTCCATATTGCCATCAGAAATTTGGTCCTAATCTAGTAAAGTGAATGCAGACGAAATAAAGATTATATACATATTAGTTATTACTAAATATCATGAAAAGTTATAGGAATTAGGACACCAGCAATGTTGTCCCAAAGCGTTATTGTTTAATTATATAGGTTTGATTATTAACAAGGAGGAATTAAGAGGATGTAATAAATAGAAACAGAGGACAAAAATGCTAGTGAATGTCGGTTTCTTGAAAGGCACAAATGTCCACAAGATGAACTGAAAAGATATTAAGATGCTAAGATGAATGGGTGGCCATAATAGAATGGATAAGCTAAGAAATGAGAATATATGCCAACAAGTGGACGCTACACTCGCCAAGGGTATTATAAGGGCATGACAATTTAGGTGATTGGGCTATGTATTTTCTAGACTCGAAGAAAACTCCTAATAATAAGAAAACTCCTGATATTAAGAGTGATGTGATCTCGTCGAATAGTTAGAAGAGTGAGTGAGTGGTAGACTAACACTAAACGTAGTAATGAACAGAAATCACCAATGAAAAGATTCATGTAGCCTCAATTTTATTAACAATAAGGCTTCTTTTGTTATTGGAATACTCAATGCCACAAGTGGGGCTGCAAATGAATACAACAGTATAATCAGCTTATTCTGGTTGGCCAATAAGTTTATTCAGGTTCGTTCCTCAAACCAAATTTATCGACTGTATCTCGTTTCAAACTAAAATGAGCATAAATACCCACATTTGGCTAATCATTCTTTGTACTCGAGCCTTCGTGATCCAGAGGATAGCAGATTGTCTAAGAGCATCTTTGGCATTTATTATAAGCTTTAGGATCCCACAAACTATGTGGACCAAAATACGCACAACTGTGAGGCCCACAGCTTATAAGCAAAAAAGTCCAATATGGCCTAAATTTATTTACCTCCAAACAATATCATACTCTAAAACATGTGTAAACAAGTAAATAAGACGGGGAAAAATTCTATACCATGTCAAGGTGAACCAACGACTTTTGTCTAAAAGCAATACTCAATGACGTATTCACGTTTCCATTTTAATCAAGATCAAAGATCATAAGCTAATCAAGTATGAGCTTTGCTAACGTCCAGTCTGTCTGACTTCGGCTATTCTACAACTACTCAACCTAATAACTAAACCTCTTACTTGAAGTTGGAAAGATAAGGACATTGAGCATTCTACAAAAATTGTAGCAGCATTTTCCACAATATAATCAGGGTGGAAATGGGACAGGGATGGGGGTGGGGGGAGTCTTAGGTATTCATCAAGCATATCTGTTCAGAAGACAACCTGAGTATAGTTTAGAGGATTCTTCTGCAACTCAGTTATAATTAACTCAATGTGTTTCTTGGAGTCTCGCACAAGTTGGGCCTTGGCCTTCTCTCCCAAAATGACATATTTACTTTCCTGGTCCGGACCTTTGTAGAGAACAAATAAAATTTATGACAGCAATGCTCATAGATGACAAAAGAGCTCAGTGCAATGGCAAACTTATAACGTACCTGAATTTAACTTACGAAGACCCCTGCTTATCTTGACAGATGTAGAGTTAATACCACCACAAAGACCTTTATCCGAAGTAATTGTAACAATAACATTTTTCTTGACATCAACACCTAATGCATAAGAACGCAAGGAAAGGTAAGTCTTAGAAGAGAGAATAACAAGTTCTGTATATGAAAGACTTTCTCCCAGTTTTTTTTCCTCTCTTTTTATATAATTCCATTTCTTTAAAAACTCCAAGTGCTCCAAAATCCATTATATTTCACTAAAACGAGAGGGTAAAAAACAAACAAAAAGCATAAGTACAGTTCCCAAAGTAAAATCACCTCGAGGTAGAACATCTGATCTTTACTGTTGACGGTCTAAATAATTATTTTTTCAATATACTTTCTGAGGGTAAAAAACAGAAGGCGTACAGGTTCCAGAGTGAAGTCACCGCGTAAGAGCAATAACATCTGATCTTTGAGAAGGTCTAAATATTTATTTTTTAACTACACCTAAGGTACAATGGCTGAGAATTGAATTTCAATAGGAAACCCTAAAACTATTTTCAGAAAATAAAAGAAAAATCTACTACAATGTTTAATGTGGTCAGCGTATGCTACAGTAGGGACAACAACAAAAATACAAGGATTTCTGATGTTGAAAATGAATAATTAAAAATTATAAAAGTAGAGTAAAGTATGCTAAGAGCTTGTGGAAGCAGGGGCATAAGATAATAAAACCTCAGTAGGACTGAAACATAATCAGAATTATTAATGAACTTACTTGGAGTGTCACCGAGAAGAGCAGTGAATGGCTGCCATAACCCACGTGAGTTTTCAGCTCTAGTTTGAATTGCTCGAAGCTTTGAGGCTGCAACCATCTTCATTGCCTTAGTTATTTTCTGAATGTTCTTAACACTCCTCATACGGTTGCGGACTGCAGATATGTATCATGACCATAAACATTAATCCTCAACTAATAATTTGACGAGCAGTAATTGTGTAAAACTAAACAAGATTATAAATATAAAATAACTGACTTTGCACATATAGATTCAAAAATGCTGCTTACCGATTTGAGTTGAAATAGAACGAACTCCCAATAATGCTTGCTCCCTGTTGACACATGTTAATTTACTTAGAAACAATGAAATTAAAACCCATTGATATATGAAAATTAAGATGACACACAAACTTGCAGAAGCAAAAGAGGTACTAGACAGGAAAAGTTAATAACCAAACCACTACACATGAAAATTCATTGATTCATGCGGCAAGTGTTGGGAATGACTGCCTAGGATAATGAAAGATAGCAAAACTTGAACACAAAGATTTCACTCAAGAAATAATGCGGCTTTACTATAAAATAGCAACGGAGGACTCCAAAATGAATTTCAAAGAGTTACAAAGTATCTCGAACTCTCTCAATAACTAACTCTATCTTTCTCGAATTCTTAGTGCTAAAATATTTTAGCACACACTTATTGAATACACTGTGAATAAAACACATCCAAGACCATTTTTGAGTCACCAAGAGATGTTACTTGAGATGGTCCCCATACATCTGTATGCACCAACTCCAACTGTGTTGACTTGTGTCTGCTTTGAACTTATGTGAAACTAACCCTTCTTTGCTTTTTCAAAGATGCAATCTTCACGTAAATCCAAGTCTAGAGACTTCTAACCTAATAGTTTCCCTTGTGACATCAGTACCTTCATCCATTTCTCTCTCATTTGTCCAAGTTTATGATGGCACGTGGTCGCCTCGATTTCTAATGATGTAGTGCCAATGGAACCATAAGTACCAAACGTAACATAGAGAGTACCTTCCTTCATGAGTTACCATCATTGCTCCTCTAGTCATCTTCCAAGTGTCACCAACAAAAGTTGTTGCAATACCAGAGTCAAAAAGTTGACCCAAAGAATTTAGCTTCTTCTGCAGACATAGCACATGTCTAACATCCTTGATTCTTAAGGGTAGTTCATTAGGTTGATTTATTTGAACATCTCATTTGTCAACTATGTTACAAATCTCATTGTTTCCAAGATACACCTTATCGAGATTGCCTAGTACATAGTTATAGAAATGGCAAAATAACCCGCCCCGTGAAGTTAAAAAAAATAAAAATTATTAGTTCTAGATTATTTGCTTTGGATTTTAAAATTTTGAATTTGTATTTTATTCTCTAATAATAGCATAACTCGAAATTTTGAAATATTAAATATATATATATAAAAGGGGCAACAAACGGGGCAAGCCACTGCCCATCTAAGGCAAGGCGGGGCGGGGTTGTGCGAAGTGGCATGAAATGATGCACCTAAATCAATTAACCAAGATTCTCTGTAAGCATCCACTACTAACAAAAATGCATCAGAATTTTCATCATCTGAAACATTAACAAAGTTTTCATCTCCTTGGTAGTTGTCTTGCTTTTGTAGTGCTCTATAATCTTGCTTTGTGTTACCACATATTTCGCAGTTCCAATACTAGCCTTTGAACTTTGATCGAGATTGTTGTTGACCATTTCTCGATCGACTTGTGTTTTGCCTGTTGTTGCCACCTCTGTTTAGCTTTCTACCTCTAGCGTCAGTTGCCAAAGCCAAATCCAAGGTTTCTCCACCATCTTTTCTATGAGTATCTTCGCTAAGAACCAAATCTACAACACAATCTGGTTTTAACTTTGCCAAACCCGTGAAATTGCTCATTGCCACAACCAAAGGATTCTAACTCTCAGGAAGACTTGATAACAATGCTAATGCTTTGACCTCATCGTCAAATGAGATATCAAACGATTCCAACTAACTTATAAGTGCATTGAAATCATTGATGCAACTCCTCCCTCGAACATCTTCAAGTTGAATAACTTCTTAGTAAGACTTTATTAGTTGCAGAGGGCTTCTCAGACATTAGTGATAAAGCTGCAATCAAACTTTTGATTGTCTTTTCATTTCTAATATTGAAAGCAACAAGAGTCGGCCTTATCACACCTAAGGATTTACATTCAAGTAATTCCCAACTCCTTTTGATATCCACAGATTTCTTTGATGCTCCTTCAAGAGGAAAATAAAGATCTTGGTAGAGATAATCTTCTATTTGGATCTTCCATGATCTGAAGTTCGTAGCATTGAATTTTTTGATCTTGACGTTTCAGTCTTCTACCATCATTGATATAGTTGCAACTCAGCTACTATTGAATGTAACTACAGTTGATACGTTCACATGCTCTACCAAATTGACCTAGAGCTTTGATACCAATTGTTGGATATGATTGCCTAAGATAATAAAAGATGGCAAAATTTAGACATAAAGATTTGACTCAAAAAATAATGCGGTCTTATTATAAAAAATAAGAACAGTAAATTACAAGATGAATTTTAAAAAGTTATAAAGTATCTCAAACTCTCTCTCTCTCTCTCTCTCTCCATAACTATCTTTCTCAAATTCTTAGTGCTCAAATATTTCAGCACACACTTATTGAACACACACTATGAATGAAACACATCCAAACTTATTTATAGATGTTGTAAGGCGGTTTGTATAGCTGTCTATTACTGGCCACTTAACAAAATACAGTGAGCATTCCTCCTTTTAAAAAGATGAAAAGTCAAATATGACTTTGACCATCCAATAGGCTTCCTCTTCTTTCTTGTTTAGTAGCATTACATTTTTTTGAAAGATAATCAAATATTTTATTCATGAATGCATAATACATACACAAAAAGTGTGTTATCAATTTAAACTAAAAAGGAATATGAAATTGGACAACCTGTCTATATGTCTAGTAGCCACAACATTAAACTAATTATATAATGTCAAATAAAACAATTCTCTAATTTGTTCTATTGTCCGTGTTTGATCACCAAAATAACGGCTATTTCTCTCTCCATACACACCATAAGATGCATCCCAGAATAAGGTCTATAAAAGCTTGTTATCCTTACCGCGAAATTTTCTCCTCTATGTCTTTAACACATCTTCCATACGCCTCGACAACACCCAATCCATGTACTGAGATGCCAGAATATCGTTCCACAGCAAATGAGCAGCAATACAATGAAGGAATAAGTTGTCAATTGTCTCCCCATCCCCCTACACATATAGCACCACTTTGTAAGATAAAAACCCTTTGTTCGAAGGATATCCACCGTTAACACCTGTCCTCTTGTCCAGAGTAAAAATGCCACCCGTGGAGGCGTTTCCATACCGTCTTCCAGATGAAATCTCCACAGGTCCCAATAAGGATATAAAATAAGTGTCAATGAAAAGAATATCATACCGTGTCAACCTCCACAAGCTACAATCACCCTTTCCCACCTGATGTGTGCCTTGTACAAAGATGTCAATAGCATTGCATAATCATCCAATTCCCAATCCTGCAATTCCAACCGAGACTCCTATTATGTATATTTAAGACCATTTACCATGATAGATGGCACCAACACAATACGATACAAAGGAAATCTCACCCATAACGATTGATCTCAACACCAATAATCATCCCAAAAATTGATAATATTACCATTTTCTACTACAAAATTGCTCAACATTTGCATCACAGAAGATCAGCATATCATTTGCAAATAACAAATGACATGCCTGCAATTGCTCAACCATAAAGCCCCTTGACAAACTCTCCCCCAAAGCCTTCTCAAGCATCTTATTAAAAGCTTCTATTACAATGACGAATAGCAATGGAGACAAAGGATCCCCTTGCCTCAATCCTATGCTGCTACGAAAATAACCTTCCGGAGTGCCGTTCACCATAACTGAGAAAGAAGCTGTAGAGATACAAAACTCGATCCACTAGCACCACTTATCCTCGAAGCCACATTGCCTCAGCATATACAAATGAAATCCCCAATTTACGTGATCATAAGCCTTCTGAATGTCAAACTTACATAACATTCCTAGAACCCTAGGCATAGTCTTGAGTTAATGCATTCATTTGCTATAAGTACGGAATCTAAAATATGACGCTCTTTAACAAAAGCATTTTGAAACTTAGAAGCCACTTCCCCTGCACCTTAAATTTGTTCGCTAAATCTTCGCAATAATCTTGAACAACCTAAAAAGCCTTATAAAATGAGAGAGAGAATTTAACCGGTCCAAGGGCCTTATCATCATTCATGCTGAACACCTCCTCCTTAGTTTCATCCTCCCCAAATAGTCTCTCTAACTGACGGGCATCCTCAATAATAGTAGAAAAATCTACCCCCTCCAACTCGACCTTCAATCAAACTGCTCCTGATAAAGTGTTTGATAGAAATTTATTATTTAGGTCCCAATATCCCGTGAATTCTCATAACCCCATCTATCTCCAACATAGTGATAAATTTGTTGTGCTTGATAGAATTAGCCACCCCATGGAAAAATTGGGCGCATTTGGTAGCATTATTTGACCAATCATTAAATTTTATTTCTTAGAAATGATTGCTCAAGATAATGAAAGATAGCAAAACTTGGACACAAAGATTTCACTTAATAAATAATGCGACTTTACTATAAAATAGGAATAGAGGATTACAAGATGAGTTTCAAAGAGAAGCTTCAAAGTATCTTAATAACAAACTCTTATCTTTCTCAAATCCTCATTTGATGCTCAAATATTTTAAGATACACTCATAGAACCCACATTATAAATGAAACACATCCAAGCCTATTTATAGGTGTGTATGGCGATTTGTATAATTGTGCATTGCTAGTCACTTAACAACATACAGAGCGTATTCTTCCTTTTAAAAAGATGAAAAGTCTAACATGACTTTGACCATCCAATGGGCTTTCTCTTCTTGCTTGTTTGGTAGCATTACTTGTTTGACAAGCCATTAAATTTTTTTTTTTATCCTCTAAGAAGTAAAATTAAACTTTGTCTTCACCTCTATCAACTACTGACCATATTCTATAAAAAGTAAACTTAAACTTTGTCTCTACCTCTATCAATCTCCTACTTGGAGACAAATATCAAGCCGCAATGACTCCCGCCTTTATCATCAAGTACAAAGACCAATTGAAGTTGAACAAGACTTCAATATCTCAATAGTAACTACCTTTGTTAACCTAACTGCAAAATTTCCAAAGTGTGGATCTTCTCCAAATTAATTTTACCATCTTCTAA